AATCACTGTAGTATTTCTTAACTTATTGCAGCCCCTAACTTATTGCAAAAATAATTTATAGATTGCACACAACACTCACATTTAACAATATGACTTTGGCAGAGTGAAAGTTCTCTCCATGTGCATGATGGGAACTCCTGCACAGTGCTGTCCTCTCTAAACGGGTTAGTAGTTATTAGGCAAAATTGAAGGCATAGCTGTAAAATTGAGATCAGCTGACACAGCCCCCATCGTCTGTCTGAGATCTCTCATGCTCTTTCTGCTCTGTTTGTCAGAGCAATAGAGGTTTTGAGTTGATATTCTATATTTAGTCATTTGGAGGTCTTGTTAATGGGTTTATTTGTGTATGTTTATGTTTTCCACTCCATACCAATGTTTTCCTTAATAGCTCATTTTTTAGCCCCTTTGATTTGTGTTTTAGACGGGTCGCATTGACATGTCCCTGCCCACTGTCTGTGGTCACACTGGACCCGTATTGGACATCGAATTCTGCCCACATAATGACAACATCATTGCCAGTGGCTCTGAAGACTGTAGTGTCATGGTGAGTGCCTTTGGCCTAATGGTTTGATCAAATTACATTTATGCACCAAAACAGTTGAACAGTAGTCATTCTAAAGTGAAAATGCTAGTATAATTCACAGTTCTCTGCCCAGTGCCATCCACATGATCATAAACAAAACAAATGTAATCAATAATCAATAATAAATTACTTAAATGATCAAATTATGTGTACAAAACAAGTCATATTAGGCTTGCTAGTGTGCTGCTGGTATGGAAATTTATGCCGGTTTAAAGGGGGAAACTTATTAATGAACTTTACTTATCCACAACAGTTCATATATCCCATAACGAATAGAATATGCTTAAATAACGCTCATGTGGACACTCTCATATCTACAGATACTTTTCATACATGAGAAACATGTTTAATGTTTTAACTGTGTGAGTTAATAATTTAACTTTCTTTATTGTTAAATTGCATTAAAATGTTTAGTTAAAATAAATAAATAAATAATATATATGAATAAATATATTATTATTATTATTAAATAATAAACAATATATATTATTAAATTGCAATATAATTTTTAATTGTAAGTTGTGTAGTTCTCTAGAGTTTTAAAATGAAAACAACGGAAATAGCACACTCAAAAATAGATTAAATGTTTTATGTTTACTTGCATGGCATGCTATGTGACATCAGAGAACCGTGAGCATGCAAATTTGTTTTTAATTTATTGAAATTTAATTGATTTATTCTCAGGGGGTACTTCAAGTGAACGTTTTACTTCTAAGGGGTTCGGCTAACAAAAAAGTTTGGGGACCCCCTGTGAGCCCCTTGAGAACCCCAATTGCACAGCAAAAATGACCACTTAGCACCACCTAGCATACAACAAGCGGTAATACTGGTATATTACCGTTTGAACACAGCTACTGTACTGCTGTGAAAAATATAATACTGCTGCAAGTCTAGCTCATACTACTTATTATAACATAAGGTCAATGTTGTCATGTAATAGATCTGGGAGATTCCAGATGGAGGTCTCATATCACCACTGAAGGACCCAGTTGTGAAGCTGGACGGTCACTCTAAACGCGTGGGCATCCTCAGCTGGCACCCCACTGCCCACAATGTGCTAATGAGTGCAGGTAAACCAACATAAGACACCCACTCAATAGCCAAAAGTGCAGGCTAGAACTACACCTATATATGTATGCACTCAGTTGTGCGATATAGAGGTAGATGATGGCGCCATCTGCTGATTCTTCACGCACACATCTTCTTAACGCACATCTTCGGGTTATCATAAATTTGACATGATTTTGTTTTCCTTTCTCCCCCTCTGTCTACATATATACTTTATTTACCTTGTCCCTCTCTTTCTCTCGTTTTCTTCTTGAAGGCTGTGATAACGTGGTCATCTTGTGGAACGTGGTTCACGGAGAGGCAGTGGTGCGCATTGACTCAGTGCACACTGATCTGATCTACAGCGCCTGCTGGAACAGAAACGGCTCTCAGATCCTCACTTCCTGCAAGGACAAGAAGTTACGCGTGTTAGACCCCCGCAAGGGCTCCGTCATCTGTGTACGTGTATGCCTTCACTGGAAAGAAATTATAAAATAGTGTGAATAATGCTAAAAAAAAGAATGCATTTCGTTGTTTACCGTTCGCCACATTGATTTTGTTGTCGCATCCAGAAAGTTTTTGTCTTGTGGTGTCAGGATGCACTTGTTGCTGTACTTAAAAGATCCGTTTTTTAAGATGGTTGGGTTTCATGTAGTCTTGAGGCAATTTTAAGGCATTTTAGTGTGTGTGTGTGTTTTTTGAATGATCATGCGAGTATTCAGAAAACTCTAGATGGAGCACATAATACTGAATAATTTAAAGCCATTGTAAATAACAGAAAATCCTTTAAGTTGATATTAATTTAACGTTTTCTTAAAATGCAGACACAATAACAAAATTTCGCAGACAAAAAAAAAAGTGGTGAATCCTCGTGACCAAATTGAACCTGCTGCGAAATCTGCGCAAAATTCCCAATTATATTGATTTATTTTTAAACGGCTGGATTTTGCTGGTGAAAATTCGCTAAAAACAGTAAATGTGGCCACATTTTTGTCTTAATTTAAACATTTTAAGTTCAGTGAAAGCATTTAATTAAAATTGTGAACATTTCTCTTTCTTATACGTTCCTTTCTGCCAGCTCATTTACTGCCATGTGATTTGGCGCTGCTCATATGACTTCTTTCTGTGTACATGTTTGTTTCAGGAGAAGGACAAGCCTCATGAAGGCTCCAGGCCAGTCAGAGCTGTGTTTGTGTCTGATGGGAAGATCCTGACCACCGGTTTCAGCCGCATGAGTGAGAGACAGGTGGCGCTGTGGGATCCTGTGAGTACATCTTGTGCTTCAGAAGCTCTCTCTCTTTTTTTATAGTAGTCAACATTTGTAGTGGGTCAGAAAAGTTCAGCAAAGTTGCCCTAAGACAAGAACGCATTTTGGTTTTAGGACAACTTTGATGACATTTTTTGATCCACTTCGAATGTTCACTACTGTAGTTTCACAAGCAAGTGACTCACAAAAGTGTATTTGTGGTTGCAGAAAAACTTTGGTGAGCCCTTGACCCTGCAGGAGCTGGACACCAGCAGTGGGGTGCTGTTACCTTTCTTTGACCCTGACACTGGTATAGTCTACCTTTGTGGCAAGGTAAGGAACTAAGAAAGACATTCAAGTTTTGAGCCAAATTTAGATTTTATGGCCATGAAGAGTTGTTTGTTCATGAAGTTGGATGTTTTAGCCAGTGTATATGGTTTGACAGGGTGACAGCAGCATCAGATACTTTGAGGTGACAGACGAGGCCCCATACGTTCACTATCTCTCCATGTACAGCAGTAAAGAGAGTCAGAAGGGCATGGGCTACATGCCCAAGAGAGGCCTGGAAGTCAACAAGTGTGAGATTGCAAGGTAAACACATCCAGCCTTTCAGCCAGGCCTATAGTGTACTTGCTTTCTCCCACAAACATACAAAAATGTCAGTATTTTAAATTCTGCATTATTTCATATTTATTTTAGGTTCTATAAACTCCACGAGAGAAAGTGTGAACCTATTGTTATGACTGTGCCTCGTAAGGTAAGTTTGTCAAAGTCAACGATCAGCTTAAATGTTGTCAAAGTCAACGATCAGCTTAAATGTTGTCAAAGGTTTGTGGTCAGTTAGAGTTTTTTGTTTGAAAGAAACTAACAGGTTTATAAAACATTAAATTGGTCAAACGTGACAGTAAAGATATTTATAATGTTACAAAAGATTTCTATTTCAGATCAATGCTGTTCACTTCAACTATTTATCAAATAATCCTTAAAAGTATCACAGTTTCCTCAAAAATATTAAGCTGCGAAACTGTTTTCAGGATCGATAATACTAAGAAATGTTTTTTTTTTGAGCAGCAAATCAACATATTAGAATGATTTCTAAAGGATCATGTGACTAAAGACTTGGGTAATGATGCTGAAAATTCAGCTTTGCATCACAGGAATAAATTGCATTTTAAAATATGTTAAAACTGGAAAATAGTTATTTTCAAACTGGAACAATATTTAACAATGTTACTGTTTTACTGTACTCACTTCTTTCAAAAACATAAAAAAACTGTACCGCCCCCAAGTTTTTTGAATGGTAGTTTATTAATGCCACTTTGTTTATTAAGTGCTGCTTATTTGTTCCACTGTCTTAATCCAGCATTATCATTTCTTTGCTTTAGTCTGACTTGTTTCAAGAAGACCTTTACCCCGACACAATTGGTCCAGAGCCATCAGTGGAGGCAGATGATTGGTTTTCTGGTAAAAATGGGGCACCAATCCTGATCTCCTTGAAAGATGGTTTTGTGGCTACCACCAAAAACAAAGAGTTCAAAGTCATCAAGAGCTTGATGGCCACCACATCATCTTCCTTAAGCAACCGACAGTCTGACAGTGTGGTAAGAGAACACAGGAATCCTCTGCCTGTTTATTGTGTTTTAATGAACCTTTCTGTCACAAATAAACTCATTCTGCCTTTCTTTCTGTTTCATATACAGGATGTGCAGACCTTGCAGGCCTTGCAGAATGAGGTGAAGGAGCTGAGAGAGATGGTTGAGCAGTTGACCCAGCGAGTGAGCGAACTGGAGAGCAAGTAGCTGAAGAGAGACCCCAGTAGAATGAAATGAAAAATGCAAATGGACATGTACAAGATATGCAAATAATGAAGTCTTAAAAGGTGTACATTGGAAAGAACATTTTGTAGAATTATGTGACATTTTTTCATGGGATACCATTTTACAGTCCATTTCAGACCAAATTTTGCTCTTCAGGGATTTCCTTTTTTTTAAAGAATTTTTAATGTGACCAGATTTGTTTGAAGCCTTTTAATATATGTTTTGTAGGATTTGAAATAAATGCCAGTGTTATTTTAACAAAGATTTACTTGTGTCAAAAACTCATTGTTCATTCTACACACACAAATGTCTTAAATCAGTCAGTTTTATTGAAAATACAGAGAGGCAACAGAAATGATTATGACCTAACACACACACACACAATTGTGTAGCATTTGTACAGATTACAGTAGATTCCCGTATCCTAAAAAGTTCTTGAAAAAATATCTGTTCTGTATTACTCAAAAATAATGAATTCAGTTATTCAGTAGCATTATTGAAATGACAAGGACTGGCACAGATAAAAATGACCTGAAAGTATTTTGGACACAAGCTCGGCCCATCCCTGAATTTTAATAAACAAGTACATTGTTTATTACCATATGAAACTAATTGAAAAGCTTAAAGACAGTTTTTCTATGACAGTAGCTCTAAACAAGTAATATTTACATCTTTGCAGACCTTTTCTAGTTTGTTATTCTCATTACCTACCAACTATAAAGACTAACATAGACATATTTCACATACTACAGCTTCAATTTCTGCGACCACTGCTTAGTTTAACCCAATTTATCTACACATAATTCTTGCTTGGTGCAGAGGCGCTGTTGCTGTAGTATTTGGCGGCTCCGCCGGATCCTCCGGAGCGGGGTCTGCTGAAGCAGCACAGCAAGCCTCCGGCCAGCAGGAGCAGGACTCCTCCTCCCCAGCCCACAAAGATACAGGCTCCCAGCTCTCTCTTATGAGATTGGGCTACCAGTGGATTGTTGAAATCGCGCACGACATTATGAGCGGCCCAGCTGACGGGGATGATCAGCAACAAGCCGGCGAGGATCAGCCCAATGGCGGACACCAGACTCACTTTGGGTTTGACTTCTTCGTTGTCGATGCAGGTGGTGAAGTCGGCGCCGGCGCACAGAACGAGCAGGGACAGGACAGTGAGCATGCAGCCGATGATGGTCATGGCACGGGCCGCTTGGAGGTCAGAGCCCAGGATGAGCAGCGAGTCGTAAGCTTTACACTGCTGCTGTCCGGTACTCTGAACCACACACTCCATCCACAAGCCCTCTTCCTGAACCTGTGCGGCAAAGGAAAAATATGAAATATACCTTCTTATCCATAGAATTTCATCAGCATCCTTTAAAGAATATTCTTTCTACCGCGGAACATGAAATGACTTTGCAGTTTTGGAAATAATATGAATAAATGTGACCCTGGACCACAAAACCAGTCATAAGGGTCAATTTCGAAATTGAGATTTATACATCATCTGAAAGCTGAATAAATAAGCTTTCAATTGATGTATGGTTTGTTAGGATAGCACAATATTTGGTCGAGATACAACTATTTGAAAATCTGGAATCTGAGGGTGCAAAAAAATCTAAATATTGAGAAAATTGCCTTTAAAGTTGTCCAAATTAAGTTCTTAGCAATGCATATTACTAATCAAAAATTAAGTTTTAATATATTTACAGTAGGAAATTTACAAAATATCTTCATGGAACATGATCTTTACTTAATATCCTAATGATTTTTGGCATAAAAGAAAAATCAATAATTTTGACCCATACAATGTATTTTTGGCTATTGCTACAAATATAGCCCAGCGACTTAAGACTGGTTTTGTGCTCCAGGGTCACAAATTATGATTAAGTTTTATATCTGTGCACTGCACAAACATACACATTTATTCTTTGAATTGAACTTTTTGAAATTGCAGCAATGGTTTACCTGTGCAGTGATAATGTTCTGACCAATAAAAGCAGAAACCTTCCATCTTGGAACAGCAATGGTCACAACCGCTGCAATGAGACCTAAAATTCCCAGTGCCATACACACGATCTGTACACCAGACGAGCCCATTCTGAAAGAGGAATAAAGGAGATTAAATAATAATAATAATACATTAGAAAAATATTATTGATGCTCTCAGTTTGGAAATAGTGTTAAAACTAAAAGTAAAGCAAACAAAGAAAAAACGCACACTCTGCAAAAGCAGTAGGCTAGTGAAGATAGTGGTTTTGAATCCTTCCTGTTTGCGTCATGGTATATTTTGTAAGACATATTCTAAACTAGTTCTTATGCATTTGCACATAAACTCAATGGCTCCTCCCTTTAGACAGGTCCATACAGGAATTTATATCTCAGGGCTGCAGCGGGAAAAAAAACAACATCTCTAAGAAAACCCACATCATGAAGCAAGCCTCAAGTCTCAACAGGTCCTAAAATCTGCTTTTAGCTACATTTGTTACGTAACTGCCACTCCCTGAGAGGGGTCTCGGGTACCGCGTGTTCTATTCTATTCTATTCTTTAATAATAAACACTGAGTACCTTTTCAGTGAACTGCTCGTTTTTCGTACACTCGCCCCCGAATGCCTGTGGCTTTCTCACTGAACTTCTCTTGTATCTCCTCAGGGTTTGCTCGTGGCTGATTCATAAAACTACTGTTAGAATGTGTGGACTGCACGTAAGACCCTGTAGTCCACTATAGTGCACTGCATTGTCTTCCTACTCGGCACTAACAAAGCGCAATGGATCGGTGAGGAGCTAGAGAAGGTGACCAGGTGGTGCGTTGGCACCAGCAAAATGACTAACGGTAATTGTGGCTGTTTTAGTTGACGGTGAATCATTCAGCAGCTCTCTGAGCGATTAACATGCTGTCCAGCTCCTCCAAAATTGTATTCTTTCCGTCTACGCAATGATAATTCTGCTCATGAATGAGTGAGGAATTTTGCTTTTTTTTTGTCTGCATGCTGTCCAGGATTCAGGCCAGTAATATTCTAACATAACAATGAACAAACAGATAGAAGTCCATTGTGAATCCCAACACTTTACAATATGGCGTGCTTCAAGAAATGTTGTAATATGTAATGAATTATATGTGTTGTTACATACAAAGGCAACATGATAAATATTAACAATGTCATACACCTAACAAATAATAGAGTTAATGTCCTTCTAAACATTGATATCTGCTAGGTCTTCCTCAAAATAGTTGAAGTCTGAAAACAAAAAGGCACCACCCTGTAACCTCATGTAAGCTGTCTGATTTATTGCTTTACTTTTTTCTACTTATTTATTTTTTCATTTCACATAAAATATATTTTGAATTTGATTTATATGATTTTTTTTTTAAACTAATCATTTAACATTTTCAGATATTTTTTTAATATAACCTCGCTGTTTGTTTTAATAGATAATTTTTCGCAAAGAGTAAAAAGTTTGAACTTTACCTTTTATTGTAGCTCTTTGAAGAAAATTCTCTGCAAGTTTCCTCTTGTTTTTGGATGAAGTCTTTTAAGTTAGTCTCCCACCTTACCAAACTGTTACCTCTAATGAAGGTGGTGTGATGTGAGGATGCATTTGTAGAGGAATGCAATGGGTGGGGTAGAAATGAGACAGAGGCAGGTTGGTAAAGAGGAAAAGGCCAGACTGGACTTGTTCTTTTTCTCCCTGCTGCTTTCTTTACCCCTTTTTATTTCACCTTAAACTTTTTAGATAGAGAAGGTCTGTCTTTGATATTTTTTCTTTGTTTAAAAATGTCATAAAGAATGAACTCAGGTGATAAACTAGTTTTGAAATACTTTTTATTTTTTTGATGTGTTAAAAATAAATGGTATTCATTTATGTACACTGATATTATCATCACATTCACATACATCACGTTACCATGCTACTCAATGGAAATATTCGCTCTTGGAGGTCGGACATCATGATACTATGAATCATAAAGCCTCTGAAACTTCTGTCATAATCATAATGACATCTCAGAAACAACCTCATACTCTCCTCATAAGCTCTTCCCAGTCACCGTCGAAACCACACATGATGAATAGATGCTGTCACAAGTTAGAGTGGGTGGGGTTTCAATTGTGAAACATCGGGAATGGGAGACACAATAATAACAGAGCTGTGTGATGCAAGGATTGATTCATTTAAAAACTATGTATAAGAGATTGGACAAAATAGATAGGAGGTCCGTAGTGAAAAAATATACTAAATGTATTTGAGACACATTTATTTCATGCTAAGTATACAAATGCATTTACATACTTATGTACTTAATAAAAATCCCCTGCAATTGTGATTTTGGTATACTAAACTGGTATACTTAAAGTCTGCTAAATTGGAACAACTAATTTTGTGCTTAATGCACTTTAATTGTGCTGAAGTCCAACTAAAGATATACTGAAGTATATTTGATTGTGCTAAAGTGGAACTATTGCAAGTATACTTAAGGTACTTTTTAATTATCTTGCATTTAAATACCGATATTATACAGAGATCATATAATCCTTATTAAGAATGATATTAAAACACATTAGGCATAATATTAAGAAATGTGTATTGTGCAATAAAGAAATAATCCAAATAAGTTTTATTATAATTTTATATAAGTAAGTCTTAAGTGATATGTAATAATGTCAATAAATGGATTTGAAGTATACTTATATGAAATAAGTGTATTTTGAATAAATTATGGCATAGTTTTTTTTTGTACTAGGGGTTTTGAGAAACTAAAATAGAGCCAGAAGAATCAATGGTATCATTCAGAAAGATCACGAGATGACTGGTCTCTCTCTTGTTCAGTGGCGGCTCTTGGGTTTTAAAATAGAGGAGGCACACTAATTGTATTGGTCTGGGATCCCTGCCGATTATTATTATTATTATTTGCTTAACCACTTTAAAATGGCTTTTTGGTTGCTTTTAGTCAGAAAACGTAAAGAAAACGACACACATACAGCAAGATAATATTAATTACATCAGCAGATTCGGCACATTCGCGATAGAAAAGCGGCACTTTCACGTTATGATATTACAACTGTGAAATTATAAACAAAAAATAAACATTCTGAGACATGAACTGAAATGAATTGCGAATTTTATTAACATTAAATCGTCCTCCTCCCATTTTCACTTCAAAATTATGGGGAAGCTGCGCCTCCCCTGCCTCCCCCGATGAGCCGCCACTGCTCTTGTTAGGTTTTTTGTGAACTTAAAAATATTGCTGATGAGGCACTGATAAATAATACACTAGGCTATATATGCACTTCTGATGCTGGACAAGAAAAATAAAATGAAGAAAAATCCAATGACAACAATGTCAGTTTTCCAGTTATTTGTCTTTTATTTTGTCAGTGCGTCTTTTTGGGAAAACAAACAAAAATAAAATGTATTCTTTTGCTGCATCTGACCAAAGAACAACTAACCATTTAAAAGATAAAAAAAAGCCATATGCAAACTTAATGATAGAGTTTTAGTTATGCCCGGCAATGTACTGATTGATAAAATATAAAGTAAAAAAAAAAAATAAATAAAAATTATAAAAAACTATAAATAAATCTAAACATGTATTTTTAACCTCTTTGCAGGTCATGTTGGTAAGTTAGGTTTTATGGTTTTGATAACTAGGCTATGACTTGTCCAGAAGATAGCAAAAAAAAAAAAAAAATCTAACCTGGTCTTGGTAAATATAAAAGCTGGCCAGTTGAGAAGTGCCCAAAAAACTCACTTAAACCAGCCGGGAAAAAACAACAACAATAAACTAGCTTAAAGGTCCCCTGAAATGCTAGAAACACGCAGCGTTACTCTTTGTGTTGACATCATTTTAAAGTGGTCATATTATGCGATTCAAATTTTTTCTTTCTCTTTGAAGTGTTACAAGCTCTTGGTGCATAAAGAAGATCTGTAAAGTTGCAAAGACTAAAGTCTCAAGTCTTTTTTCCTCAATGGAAAGCATATTTACACTGTTTGAATCGTTCCCTGTCCCCTATATAATGCACTACGTGCCACTGACTGTAGAGAAAATACTAATTCTATTAATATAATTAATATATATATATATATATTTTTTTTTAAGAATATGTATATTATTTATTTATTATGTTTATATTATTTATTATATTATTTTATGTATATATTGTATTTATTTATAATATTTATTTAGGCTATGTATATATTGTATGTATTAATTATCTATCTCTCTCTCTCTATTTATCCAATTGTGTATTATGTATTCATTTCTGAGGTAAAATTTGCTAGCTAAATAGGTGATTGTACTTCCCTTATTTGATAAATGATTTACAAGCTGTCGGCGAAGGCGTGATCTGCGAGCAGCTGACCGACGCCCCCTCTGAGCTGTTGATCCAATCGACGTTAAAACGCCGATGAAAGCGGTAAGAATTACGTGAAACATTGCTGATGTTCGCGCAGTAGTGAGGGCTCTTTAAATTTTGGCGCTGTTGTGAAGACGCATGTCACGTGACAACATCAACATGGCGGATGTAGTACGTCCGAATTCCATTCATACTACTCTCATTCATACTATATAGAACGTACTTTTTTAACGGTCGAGTAGTACGTTCAAATTCAAATGTAGTACCTACTAAGCAGTATGCGATTTCGGACGCACCCATAGTTTCTATTTATAACACGTGTTTAAATCACGTGGTTGCGCAATGTAGCCAATCACAGACTCAGCTGTTGTTTTCTGGAACGCAATGGCCAATCAGAGGTGATTAAGTTAGAATCTACTCACCACAGTGCTGAAATTGCGTGCTCACGAATCCTCTCATTTTAACACACGAAGTGTAGACACTGTGAAAGATTCATTGTGCATATATTTAATGTGTTATAACAGAGCTTTATGAGATCGCGATTAACTGAGATTAACAACTTTTAGTGATAATAAAGGAAGCGCTGCTCGCATTCTGCCATGCCAAACCATGCACGCAGCAGCACATGCTTGCTTTTCTTTTAAAAATAACAGTGGTTTGTGATTGTGAATGTTGATGCTTAGCCTAAATAACAAATATTTTATCGGGAGCATTTATGCTGGTATGTTGTGGAGCTTAGGAGATGTTACAGAACCATTTCATGTACATTTCTTCGATGTAGCCTACTGAAAAAAATCTATATTTTACTTTTATGCGGGCGGGAGCGGGACAAAACATGAATGTCGCGGGCTGGAGCGGGACCAGATAAGATATATTTCTAAGGGAGCGGGACTGGAAAATCCGTCCCGCGCAGGTCTCTACTTCAAAGCTTTATCACCCAAATGAAACTTAGACTGAATCTGACCAGTCATACTTTGTTTAACTAATATCGCGCATATGTGTGTTTGTAATGGCAGTGCTACTTGCAAAAGGGAAACTCTCAAGAAAAGGAGGTGCGGTGTTCCGTAACGTCTATAGAGGGCGCTGGTGTGTTAGAAAATGATCCTGTAGGTAGGGGAAATATGAACAAACCTGTCATCAAACAGTTAATGTTAATGACAACGTGAGCACCTCGATATAATAATGTGGCCTTGAGCTATTATCTAGCATAATGCTATAGTTCCTAAATCTAAAGTACATTATAAGCGCCAGCAATTTCATAGTATGTGAACATCCCCTCTCCTTTTTTCACCTCATTGACGTCATGGCTTGGACGGAGCTCTGGAAATGAGATGTGTGTGAACACTAGCCAATGAGCGACCACACCCTCAGTTCAAATGTGAGATGTAAGCCAATCATCTCCCTGCATTTACAAGCGGAGGCGGGTCCTATCAACCTCCGTTGATTTCGCTCTTCACAAACACGGTCTTTTTTAAAGTTCCGTAGACGATGAGAGAAAGGGGGTTGTGAGGTTACGGAAAATAGGGACAGTTTGAATGTCTTTAATGCTCGTGGGGCATAAAGAGAATCAAAATAAGAGACGAAGGGGTATATCTGGGCGTTTTTGTATCATATTAACAGTTTCCTGGTGTTTAAATACGGGTAGGCAATAGCTAGCGCCATCGGCTAACGGCGTTAGCAGCTAGCGATCAACCAAACGACAAAGGAAATATAGCCAGTAAATCCACATTTCCATAACGATATCTTTTATACGCTTTGCTTATTCGGATTGGGGGCTTATTTTTTGACCAATCACCAAGATAGCAGAAAACGGCAGACTCGACCTTTTTGAATAAACCCGACAAAAATCCACTAAAATGGCGGAGCCGGACAAATTAAACATTGACTCCATAATACAGCGTCTCCTGGAAGGTGAGAACTTCTCTGCACATCTTTTAATTATTAAATGTTGTTCTGGAATGAAATACGTAAAACCAACAAATACTTGTGTATATATATATATGTGTGCTTGTATTGAATATGTGTCATATTATAGAATAATTGTGAGCATATTTGTGTCCTGAAAAAGCCGGGGGAAGTGGAGCGAATTAGCAGTTGCTAGCCAACCAGTCTACACTAATTTACTAAAACTCTGCCCGGGAGTTTTATAGCCAGAATCTCATAGCTATCATTACAAAAACCGATATAGCTGACAATTGCATGCGCTCTTTTTTCTTATTCTCATTATTTTAAGGTCATGAGCCGATGTGAGCGGAAATTCGGCCAGTATTTCATTCAATGACTACTGGTGTGCTTTAAGTGATTTACATTTCTGTCTCTGTCCAGTTCACATCTTCTGTTTGGTTACCTTCCATTTTAGCAGGGGAAGTCCTGTGCCTAATTAAAATCGGCAGCAATAGGATTACTCTAACTAATGAGGATGTAGTTAGTGGAGGTGTAGTACCAAGTGATCCTCACAATAGATGCCCTCAAAACATGGCATAAACCGTGGAAGACGTGATTATTTTCAATGTTTTTCAATGTTGCTGAGGAGAGTCTGGATTTAAACATTTACATTTTCTGTGAATAAAATAAACATTTAGTGATTTGCAGTTACTCTGCTTTAGCTTTGGTTGCTTTAGCCCTTAGATATGTTTTCCTGAGAGTCCTGCTTGTTGTATGGTAGATGATGATTACTGGGTTTGGTTTTATTGCCTGTTTAGGGACTTAATTGCATAGTCCTGTAAACATGGTCGATCCAGGCTAATTTACAGAGTAATATCATATTAGATGGTGCCACAGAGTTTCAACGTTTTGGAAGCCCTTTCATCACTCTTAAAGGGGTCATATGATGCGATTTCATTTTTTCCTTTCTCTTTAGAGAGTTACAAGCTCTTGGTGCATAAAGAAGATCTGTAAAGTTGCAAAGACTAAAGTCTCAAATCCAAAGAAATATTCTTTATAAAAGTTAAGAGTTAACCTCACCTACCTAAACAAGACGAGACATTTTTCTGTAATATGATTTACAATTCGAAGTTGATTTCTACTAAGTGGAAGTATACTATTTGCAGATTCTAAATGTGAAATATACTGAACAGTTGTATTATAAACGCTTAAGGTTTGGAAAAAGTAAGTATGTAGCCTCATAAGACATTGGAAACTGTTTTTTTTTTTTTGGCATATTGTCCCTTTAGCTGCACTAGAAATGCTTTTCGTACTTAATGCTTACTGATGCCTACTGAGGGTAAACATTGCGAAGCTTAGCACAGATGGGCTTAATAAACCTAAGCAAGCAGTTTATCAAATATCTGAATCACATCAAGCATGTGTGTTGCATAACATGAATCCTTTAGGCCTTCCAAACTATGTACCATTTTTCCAGCCGTTTCCGTAGCAAAGGAAGTTGTGCGTAAGGTCATAAGCAGGCCCACACGGCATTGTAGTTTCTGCAGAATTGATCATTCAATTTTTTTTTACAAATCTCCACCTCTTGTGTATTATTATTTTAATAGATATTTTTGGTTCAGGTTAACAGATTTTATCATACTTTAATTAAATGTATTTACAAATTCTGTGTGGGCCTGATGTGATGTGAGGTCTGATGCTGGTGGGTCATTTGAGCTGCTGGACAGAATTGAGACTTTATTTACTTGGCAAGAAACTGAATGTCTTTTTCCCAGTATTTTTCATATGTGAGAAAAGGGAAAGAAACACACACAATTTAAATATAGTCACAAAGACCTACAAAGATAACAGATTTCCACATACACCGGACCTTTTGGCTTTAGGTCCTGTTGGCTGCATGGCTGTGTAAACCTATTTTTTTTCTGCAAATTGCAGTAAAAAAAAATAAACAAGCCTGATAATAGTTGTATTTATATCTCCTTATGTAATCCTGCTGTCCTTTTTCCCCTTAGAGCTTGATGCCTCCGTCCAAAGTCCTGATTCTCCTGAGGATCTTATTTTTATTTGATGGCTGCTCTTCAAATCACACAGATATCGTGTATTATGATACACAGATATTATGAAGATATTTTTACTTATTTTGTCTTCGATTTTTAGGGTAGGGAAAAAATGCGTTGCTCTGACCTTGCAGGGATGGTCAGTCTTTGTATGCAGGCAGGTTGCACTCAAGACACAAGTGCAGTACGGTGAACGAGTGTTGTCCTATTTACCAAAGTTTTCTTGTGTACATGGGTTACTGTGCCTGTAGGTTGGAAATAATTACAAGAAGTTACATAACTTAATCCTCTCTTTTAATGAACACAGCGGTGCCTCTTCTTACAGGCAGTACCCTTTTTTTTTTTTTTCGGATCCCAACACTTGTTCTGTGGAATGTTTAGAGATTCCAGCTTTGAAGTCTAGATCCTTTTGGTTCATGCTGTTCTGTACTGCTGCGCTGTTGTGCCTGAAGCCTCATGGCCAACCAACGGAAAATCAATTGTACTGATTACAGGTGGCGTGAAGGAAACATTTGCGCACAGACCGGTGCTTTTTTTTTTTTTTTGCTGGTTGCTGTTTGCCCAGCATGTGCTATCGTTTGTCGTTCTGTTGAGGTGTCACATAAATAAGTTGTTTTCTTCTCCTCAGATTGTCCCTTTATCTCATTGCCTCATTGGATTTAAGTGTGGAGGGAATCACCTCTGAGAACCTGAAGCGTTTGAGGCAAAACGCATGGATGTCCGTGTGACGAGCATGTGCGTGCCAAACCGATTAAGCGCTGGACTTTTAGCATGTCATTTCATGTATTTCCCCATAGCATGACACTGCTAGATGCACACTTGTAGTTAACTTTGATTGATTCCCTTTGTTGTTCTCTGCACTGCTTTCTCTTTGATAAGAAACTTAACACACCTACCAGCTACAGTTCGAGAGGTTTATTTGATTGTTTATCAACCAAGTACACCCCCATTTTTGTGGGCGGTTGAACTGTTCCCTGCACTACCTTTTATTTATGGAATTTAGCACACCTAACTTTGCACACCTACTGCTTATCGTTTGAGTGGTTTATTTGCTTGTTTGTCATCGGTCCACCCCCTCCCTTGTGTTGGGTCTAAGCTCTGTGATGCTTATTGGTCCCCGTGACTAACTTTAGAGCAAGTGCTGTTAGGGCATTAGCCGGCCTTAATCTGGTTTTAAAGTGACGAGCGGCAGGATCCTATTTATACCCACTTTTCACTGACTGAGCCGATGGGTTTCCGGTCACTGTCCAGGCCCTCAGATCACTCATCTGCAGCCTGAGACCTTAAAGGCCTTCTTTCAAGTGACCCCACCTAACTGTTAGACTGGTGTGCGTTTGGTATGCGTCATCTGATTTGTTTGTTAAAAAGTTCTCTATTAAAACGAAGCTGCGGTATTTAACGTCAGTTATCAGTTACCAAAAATGCGAAGTGGTTGTTCCACAATATGGAAGTCAAATTCGGTTTATTGTCTTTCCTTTACAGGGCAAGGCAGAAAGTGAAATGTAGCTTCCCAGGTGACTTGGCTACAAACATAGACTATTCGTGACAAACAATTATCCATTATCATCAGTGTGCACAAACAATAAACCTGAGGCAAGATAAATATAGAGCTTATCTACAAATAAGCAGCACGGCATGGATGTCAAACACACTAGTTAATTCAGCACTACGTACAGATTAAAATAAAGGAAAAGTAACAATACTTTCCATCAACATTTACAATACAAAATACAAGTCTTTCTGCAGGATTATAAGTATCAAATAGATTCCGTGCTTGAGTGCCATCACGTGCATATTTGCTTGCATGCTGATGTAATACAGTTACACTACTGTTAAAAAATTGAGTTTTTTAAAAATGTTTTTGAAAAGGGGGAAAAAAACTCATGCTCTCCAATGCTGTATTTGATGAAATACAGTAAAAACATAAATTGCAATTTAAATAGATTTTTTTATTTTAATATATCTTAATGTATTTTATTTATTTCAGTGATTGCAAAGCTGAATTTTCAGCATCATTACTCCAGTCTTCAGTGTCACATGATCCTTCAGAAATCATTCTAATGTGCTGATTTATTGCTCAAGAAACATTTCTTGCTTTTAATGCTGAAAACTGTTGTATTGCTTAATTTATATAATTTGTGGAAATCTTAATACAGTTTTCATTTTTAATGAATGGAAAGTTCAAAGAACAGCATTTATTTGAAATGGGGGGTCTTTTTTGTAACATTATTAATGTCTTTACTCTTTACTATTGCTTTTGGCCAATTTAATGCATCCTTGCTGAATAAAAGTGTGAATTTCTTTCAAATCTAACTGACCCCAAACTTTTGAATTAGTGCTGGGCGGTATGACCAAAAATTTATATCACTGTATTTTTCAAAATTATACCGGTTTCACGGTACATGACGGTATTTTTTTTTCATGCATGACCAGGTGTTAACCATATTTTCTACTGATTGAGAGAGGAAATACTGCAGTATATTGACTTAGAATGCCCTATTTTACTGTCACGATGAGTGAATATTGTCAAAAAATACCACACTAAATAGTGACTAAACACGACCCCTTTTAATACGTTAACCAGGAGTCACTCTCATTTATAATCACAGCATCGTCTGATAAAATCAACATGCATCTAAACAGTGCAACAGTGAAAAGGGACCCCTTTCAAACAGTGTCGCGTTCCGAACGTTGTTTTAACGACATGCATGCATAACGTATTGCGGTATTTTAAAAATTCATATCATAACAAAAATAAACACCGGTATTCGGTATGTACCGGTATACCGCCCAGCACTATTTTGAATGGTAGTGTACATCCATGAATGGGCCAAAAGCATAACTTGATAATTTCCTGCCTTGGTGAATAGTGATTGCTGTCATTTAAGTATCAATATTTATTAATTTTTCACATTTTAATTGGATGTTCATTACTATATTAGTATGTTAAAAATATACCAGTTGTTGCTTGGGTATTGAAAACTGATATTGAGAATTATGAAGTAACACATGACAAACTGATTACATGTATTTTTCACTGTGAAGGATTGTGCTGTAAATGTCTTTAAACAGCTGCGCAAATGTGTATTCAGGGTGGATGAACATTGAGTCAGCCAGCTGCTTCTCTCTGTGGACCTTCATATTAATTGAGACATCTTCTGTGCTGCTGGTTTAAATTGGTAGAGATGGCTGGATGCAAAGAAGCATGTTTTGTTTTCCAGCGTTTGTCCTGCACTGTGAAACTCTTTTGGCAGTCGCATTGTTCAGTTTGTTTGAAGTGGGCATTGTGATGTCATAAAAATTTTTTTTTTTTCACTGTCGACTATGTGTCCTTGGTTAATCTGTGTGAAACCTCATGCTTTAAACATTTATTTAGAGGTGTAGGCTGGTTGGATCGATTTTGTGAATGTGCACAAATAAGCCATCTCTCAAATCCTTGCATAACTGCCTGATTATGTGAGTCACCGGCATACGCTCAGTACTGTAATTCTTGCCTGAAGCCAGCCATGTGAAATGTATATTTAAAACCCAGCAACTGCTTGAATACAACTGCGGGGCTGCCTCTGGGTCTTTTATCTTTCCTTTCCGAACATCCCATACACATATATGCCACTTCTGATGTATGGCCAGTGTGACTTCGGAGACGTCATTTACAGCCCTGTCCAAAGAGACTGCAATATTTCTCCTCTCCAGATACATCCTGTGCTCTTTCTTTCATCCGCTGCTGCCAGCTAAACCCCCTGAACAGCGTGTCATGCAGCCAGTCTAAAAGGGCATGTTTGAATAAAACCGCAGGTCTGCGTTCTGTGAGATGACAGTCTGTTTAGACCCTGCAAGCCTTCTCTGTCACAGTGCAGCAGCAAATCTCTTGTATTTTTTTTTTTAAGTGACTGCAAGGATAAGTACAGAATCTGTTGACCCATGTTTGGTTGTTTTGTTTGTCATGAATATTTGATTCTATCTGAAGTTCAGTTGCACATGATCTTCAAAACTGGTCAGAGATTACTCAGAGGAGAGCTCTTTAAACTGTATTGTGGTTGTTAAAAGCCATATGTGCAGCGGTTGTGTTAGTGTGCATTTGACAAATACTAAGGAATGCTTAAACAAACCTGCTAAATTCTGTAAATGGCTTTGCAGAATCAAATGAGGTTGGCGTGCATGCTTGAGCCGAGACACATGATATGGAGTTTAAGTGCACTGATGCCTGTGCGTCACTAGTCTGTACATCCCATCATTTCAGAGAGCCTCTTGAGTCGAGTTTATCATCCTCTAGATCTTCCTCCTAGCTTTTAAAGCACTTATTGGGTCTAATCTGTCACATTTGCTTTTTTGTTTGGCTAATTTCCTGCTTCTCATTTTGTCCCCTCTGTTTGTTTGTGTTTTTCCAGTTAAAGGCTCCAGGCCAGGCAAGAACGTACAGCTGACAGAGAGCGAAATCCGTGGCCTCTGTCTCAAATCTCGGGAAATTTTCCTGAGCCAGCCAATTCTGCTGGAGCTGGAAGCACCGCTCAAGATATGCGGTGAGTATGTTTGTCCTACAGGCTTCCCACTAGGGATGGGTACTGAAACCCGGTATTTAATCGGTCCCGGGGCTAAATTATGAAAGACCGGAGTATCGATAAGCTCTGACGTTAACGGAGAAATTAAGAAAACAGAATCAGCTCAGTCGGTGATTGTTGTAAAATGCCGTCTTACTGTTGCTAAATTGACATGTTTGATAATAAAACGTTGAAAGCACAATCTGCACAAGAGACAAATCAGATGAGCGGTGGGCGGAGACTGCTTTAGGCCACAGAGTGCTGAGTTCTGACAGGCTGCATCAGAGCCAAATAGCGCGTTTCAAAATTAAGTTCTTTTATCGGCAAATCGGTTTTGAAAATAACCGATACCGATAATCATAAAAATGCTTAATATCGGAGCCGATAATCGGCCAGGCCGATAATCGGTCGACCCCTAGTATGTATGTATGTATGTATGTATGTATGTATATATATATATATAACAAAAAGTACCGATAAGAATACCGTTAAAGTACCGAATCGATAAGCAGTATCGGTAAGAGTAGTACTACTGTTAAAACCTTAACGATACCCATCCCTACTTCCCACCTTCATAGAAACCTGGAAGAAAAAGGAATTCATGTCCTGATTTGTGGAGCTTCATGTATTAAACAAAATTGTTCTGTTGTCTCTGCAGGTGACGTTCATGGTCAGTACTATGACCTCCTTCGTCTCTTTGAGTATGGCGGCTTTCCTCCTGAGAGCAACTATTTGTTCCTGGGGGACTATGTGGACAGAGGGAAACAGTCTCTAGAGACCATCTGCCTCCTGTTGGCCTACAAAGTCAAATATCCTGAAAACTTCTTCCTGCTGCGTGGCAACCATGAGTGTGCCTCTATCAACCGTATATATGGCTTCTATGATGAGTGTGAGTAGAATTTGATCTCTTACAACTACATTACCACTAATGACACCTTTCCATATACATATTTCATAGTTTTAAATGCTAATTAAGCTGGTTTTTCCAATCTCTTCAGGTAAGCGACGGTATAACATTAAGCTGTGGAAGACTTTCACAGACTGTTTCAACTGTTTACCTGTGGCTGCCATTGTAGACGAGAAGATCTTCTGTTGCCACGGAGGTAAGTGCAGGCAGAGGTCTTTTGTCCCCATGGCAATTTTAATGTTCTGTCACAACTCCTCTATTGACTTTGCAATTTCCCTGGAGAAGTTAAAATATAGCTGTTCATAGCCATATCACTGGGAGACCATAAAGTTTGGTTCATTTGATTGGCACAAACTCAGGGACACACCAGGGGACTTACTAAACGGGGTTTAGCATACACTGCATTTGAACTGCAGTTTGGTTTTGCAGAAGACGTGGGAGCAGTCTACTCTGGAAATGAACTGTAATCTGGAAATGAACTGTGATCTGCTTAGCAAATGAAGTGCAGTAAATATGGACCACTGTAAACATAAAAGCCCATATGGAGTGCTTGCATAAAGATGCTAAGGTTATTTTTTATTACTTCAAGCTGCTTAAATGTGAGGTGTTCACTAGAACTGTTTGTCATGAATGCATATGTGGGGGAAACGACAGACAACCAGCATTTCCTGCAAAGCTTATCTACCACAGCCGCAGCAGAAGAAATCATATTTTAGTTTTGAATGTGCAGTCTGAATTTAATTGAGTTGCCTTTACTGTCTGCACTCAAAAACAATGCAGGAAATGTACTGACACTAGTCTGATTCCCCCCAAAAAACAAACTTATTTTAATTAATCCCATAAATGTAACATTTGACTTGCTTATTGAACCACAAGAATTCACTTTTAGACATGTATTGCAGCAAGAAATATGAATACGATATTTAATAAAATATTTGTACTAAATTTTTGTAATCTTTTCTTTATTATAATACATTTTAAAACTTGATAGCAAGTTTTTTTTAGTTTTTTTTTTAAGGAACTCTGCAGACAACATTAAGTCATTACATTTATCTTTCTCACCAATTCATGCTGATGAAAGATTGTGTCATTATTACAACTTTTTTTCATCTTGTTAGTAATGATGTTCTGTTTACAGATTTAATGCCATTTTCTTGTGGTGTTTTGCAGCCCACAGCGTCTGGATGCTGCTTGGCAAATTGTTTTTAAGTTGCTCCCTAGAAGTGCACTGTGAAACATAATGAATTGTTTTCCGCTCCAGGCCTCTCTCCAGACCTGCAGTCAATGGAGCAGGTGCGGCGCGTCATGCGGCCCACGGACGTACCGGACCAGGGGCTGCTGTGTGACCTGCTTTGGGCCGACCCAGACAAAGACGTGCTGGGTTGGGGAGAGAATGACCGAGGCGTGTCCTTCACCTTTGGTGCAGACGTGGTGGCCAAATTCCTTCACAAACATGACATGGACCTAATATGCAGGGCACATCAGGTTAGTTTATGCTCTGTGGTGGTAGGAATGTTTCCATAAAGCATTGCCGCGTTAAAAGACTCTTCTAAATGTGACGTTATCTTCTTGTGCAGGTGGTGGAGGACGGTTATGAGTTTTTCGCGAAGAGACAGTTAGTCACTCTGTTCTCTGCTCCTAACTACTGTGGCGAGTTTGATAACGCTGGGGCCATGATGAGTGTGGATGAGACACTCATGTGTTCCTTCCAGGTAAGAGAAGAAGAGCTGTCATTTTCCTCCCTCTCTTTTGCCTTTACCTGATTACAAGGCTTTTCAGTTTCTCTGCAAATGCATCAAGTATACTTGCGTGTAATAGGTCTGGCCAGCTTCCTCTGTAGATTTGCATTAGATCATCTTTTGAAGGTTGTTCTCTACAGTGACTCTGTTCTGTTTCAAAAAGGTAGTGCACTACCAACAGATGCTTTTTACTCTCAGTACAAAGCTAAAAAAGCTTGGCTCCTTAATCATGCTGCCATGTAAGATACAGTGGGTACGGAAAGTATTCAGACCCCCTTAAATTTTTCACTCTTTGTTATATTGCAGCCATTTGCTAAAATCATTTAAGTTAATTTTTTTTCCTCAATGTACACACAGCACCCCATATTGACAGAAAAACACAGAATTGTTGACATTTTTGCAGATTTATTAAAAAAAAAAATCTGAAATATCTCATGGTTCTAAGTATTCAGACCCTTCTAAATGTGCAGTAACATTTCGCAGGCAAAAAAGCTCTGTTGTCAATGTTGTAACACGGTTTTTAATCCATTTAGTTTAGTCATTTCAGGAAAGTCTTTACTTTCTATTTTTAATTCTAAATTATAATTTTATAGACCAACTTGGACCATTGAGAAATCTGTGTGGGGAAATAATTTGGGTATTTCCCTTGAATACATTTAGAAATAATTGGATTTTGTCTGTGAAAATTAGCCAAACAATGGTTTAAAAAAACCTTGAGGTGTAAGAAACCCTATAATATACTGCAGTAAAATCAGTGGGGGGAAAAAGTCCCAGTATTGTAATTTTTTTTGGTGTAACAACTTAAAGCCTATATATATATATATATATAATGCATTAAAAGTAGATTTAATGCATTAATTATGCCTTGTAATGCACCTTATAATGCATTGTACAATCTCACGAATAATTGTAACCAGAGTTAATGCATTATAACACTTATCAATTCATTATTTTGAATGCTTTTAAATTTAGTTATAATTATTTGCGACGATAATTTTATACCCTTTAATAGCCCTTTATAATGCATTGCACATAACGTTTTGGTAAAGTAAAGTGTTACCATTTTTTTTGTGATTTAAATTAGTTGATTTTTAAATGATCCAATTCTATGAAGTGTTTATGGAGTTTTAAAAAAATACCCAATATTTGTTTGTTTAAACTTATTGGATTTAAGATTTTCAACAGTTTCACATTAGCATATGTTGCTGTCAGTTGTGAGTCAAGTGCCTCATGTTGAGTGTCCTTAGTAGGCAGCTTCCTATGTAGGCAGCTCAGTATTGCTAATGTTAAACTGTATTGAAATCAGTTGTTAGTCAAGTCTCCCGCACTGAGTTGTTGCCTATGTAGAGTGTTTTAAAATGGTCGATTGTGAGGTTCCATGACAGCCAGGATGGTCCCTGTGTAAGTAGCTCAGTTGGTTTTGAAACGGAGCTTCTGCATTGCTCACAGTATGTATTAAAGTGCTCTCTCTCTCTGTGGGCGGACATGTCTATATTCGGAAGTATGTTTGCTGTTGTGCGCCATTGCTTACTCTCGTCCTCTGTCTTTCTCTCAGATACTTAAGCCAGCTGATAAGAAGCTGTACTACGGTGGAGGAGGTGGAATGGGCTCAGGGCGTCCAGTCACCCCGCCGCGAAATTCAGCCAAGGGTGGAAAAGCCAAGAAATAACACCCGCTGGATGGCCCCTCCACCCCCAACGTCCTCTCTCTTGAAATTCCCTGTTCTGACCCCACTCTTTCTCTACCTCCCTTCTTTCTTTCCGTCTCCAAATGGCTGTAAAGCAAAACAGTACCCAGGGTTGAAGTCTTTTTCTCTCTTTTTTTTTTTTTTTTTTTTTTTTT